AATTTTTTTTTTTTTTTTTTTTTTTTTTTTTTTTTTTTTTTTTATTAATTCAGCATCATTTTATTACATAACACAAATGTGTATAAAAAATATATAAAAATTTCAAAAATAATATAAATATGTGCCTATTATAGCACATTATCAAAATCATTTTATCTTAATATTTCGCGGAACAAATGTTAGGCAAAATACTAAATATTAAAAATAAATGTTTTGCAGAATTTACATTAATATATATATATTATGTATAATAAAAATACCAATATCATTTTCATTGCAACAGAATATCATCTTCTGTGCCTAACTATGTGTTATAAATCTATCTTCTGAATTGGTTTTTAATTAATTTCATTAATCAATGATAATTATTAAAGATATTCATTTTTATTAAAAACTTAAGTAAACCATTATGGTGGGTGTTGATATAATGATAAGTATATAGAATGCTCATCTGCGAAGTCTGGGATGTCATTACAAATTCATAACTTTTATGTATACAGATTATATACAAAGTCAAATAATTAAAAAGTTAGAATGGCCAATGCCGTTAAAAAAAAAAAGTCTCTTTAAATCTATGTTAAAAAAGTTATATAATATTCTTATTGATATATTGTATATAGATAGTTAATTGTATAAATAAACTTGTTAATATAATAATAATTCAAATACTTTTCTTCTTGTTCAAATTAAAGGCCATTCAAAGAAATACATAAAAGTTTGCTCTTTTTTGATATTTATATAATTCATGTGAAATAATATTATAGAATTATTTCGTTATAAAGTATTTATAAAATTTCAAGCTGCCAGTATATCAGATAATCTGACAGTAAAACTGTTCAAACTAGTTATTAATTTGATTAATTTTTTTTTTCTTAAATAAATAAGCACAATTTAAAAAATTTTATAATTTTTAATTGGAATTATTTACATTTATAAATTCATTAAATTATGTACACTTTGTTTGTACATATTTGTTTAATAATATAATTGTTTAATAATATTTATTTTGAATGAATCTTTTTATTATTAAACTTCTTTAAGTGTTATTTTTAATTATATTTTTTCTTTTTGTTATTGATTTATATATATATATTTATTAATATATAAATTGATTTTATTATATTTTTCAAAGTAATATAATATTTGCATTCAACTATAATAATCATACAGTATAGAATATATAATTCTTGTCTTCTATTGTATTGAGAATATTGAGGCATATTATAAAAATAAGAATTTACAATAATGAGGAAGAAACATTGTATTATATACAATCTTTAATATTTGAATATAAATATTTAAATAATTGCATTAAAGAAAAGTTTAATAAAAATTTGAAATCGCACAATTTAAAATGTATTGATAATAATAACAGTGCAATACATTACAAAAATTATTCATATTTAGATTATAACATCTTAAAATGCAATTGAATAAAAGAAATACAAAATTTTAAATATTTCATTTTAATGATATTTAAACATATTTAAATATTATCTCTATTTAAAAAAAATGCATTTTATTTAAATGCAATGATTAAAATCTTAAAAAATATTCACTAAAATCCGATAAAAATATTTATAATAAATATTTAATTAGTCATAAACTATAAAAATATTAAATAATAATAATTGTACAATTTTTTGATCAGTTTTTGTTTGCTGTCAAACTGAAATAAATAATAGTTAAGAGAATAAGCGCTCCATTCTTAAAGAAAGGCATATTTTTAAAATTGCCTAAGAATTTATTATTATAATATATAAGTCCATTCAAAAAAATATTCAATGAAAATACTGTTATAGTTTTTACTGACTATACAGTTAATTAATAATTGCATAATATCCATCCAAGGAGTGCTCAAAATTAGTGAAAATCTAAATATGTCTGATGGCAAACAGAATAATGCAATGTAAGAATAAGAAACTTATTCTAATGAAATATACACGTATATAATATTTTTTGTTGTTGAATCAATATCAAATAACATTGACTTTTATAATATTATCTTTTTTTATTACATAATTATTAAAACATAATTATTACATTTATTTATTATTCTAAAAAAAATTTTTTCACTTTATATTATTAAAATATAAATATATTGATTTGCTAATTCTTTAAAATAAAATTTAAAAGAAAATAAATAATTTTTCTGCTAATATTTTTTTTAAAATAGCAAAAAACTAAATATATTATAAATTTTGAAAATTTCAAAGAAATATTTTAAATTATGATATATAATTAATTTATGAAAAAAAAATTAAAATATAATATTCAAATATGATTTCTTATAAAAAACGAAAAATGCATAAACGAATGAAAAATCGGTAATACGTAATTATAATAGACGTAAAAATTATAAACAAATGTTATCATGAATCATGAATATATACCATTAATCAAACATGCGTACGTACAAACCAAATATGTATTATTTTCATATATTGTAAAAACATTATATTTTTATCAGTCTAACAAATGATTCATATTTAGTTTGTGTCTAGGTAAGTTAGTATATTATAAGACTTTATTTAAATACATAGCGGACAAAAACATAATTGTACAAAGTCAAATAAGTTATGAAATTTAAATATACATTTGCAATATACATATATCAAAACCAATAATGAAATCATAATTAGTTATAAATTTATATAGAATTTACTTATTAAATTGCATGTAGATTATAACTCTAAAAAACATTTACTATTTATAATTGTTACACTATTTTCTATTTGGTATATATTTTAATTTTTAATTTCTATTAAAATGTAAAGTTATATAAAACTATGTTTGCATATAATAATTGTATAATGTAATATATTAACGATATTTTTAGCGATTTATTAAAAAATTTTACTTATGATAATTTTTTTTATTATTAATTATTTATATTTATTATCATAATATAAAATTCCCTTCTTCTGCACTTTAAAGCATTGTACGTATATTTCTTCTTAATATCATCGTATTTCTTTACGTTTTTGTATACATTAAACATAAATGTGATAAAAAGATGGTTATATTTTAATGCTTTTATCCTATTTAGTGTAAGAGATTTTATAAAAAAAATGTATTTAAAAAAAAATCAAAATTATTAAATTATAAATACTTTATTAATATAGTATTATGTTGTATTAAAATATACAGCTATTTATTAAAAAAAAGATGAAATGAACAATTTAACAATAATTTAATAATTTATAAATTTATAAATTTAATAATTCTTTTTATTGTATACTTATTATTATATATTAAAATATAACATCAATTTTATGTTTCATTGTCATTTAAAAGTTTGAAGTTTTCAACAATTTTTTATTGTAATCTTTATCAATATAATCTTTTTCTATTTTATAAAATCTATTTTATTAAAAAAAATATGAGAATATTTAAATATAAAAACAAATCATTATAAATCACACACATATTGTAAATAAAATTTGTCACGTATCTTCGTTCTGATTGGTTGGAAAACAATACTTTGTTTTATAGTATCTCCATAATTGTGCATGCTTTATAAAATGCTATTTCTTCATATTTGTATTGTTTAAGCAGAAATTATAAATTTATAAATTCTATTTAAATGAGATGAAAAGCATGAATAATTATTTAATAAATAAAATTGATTCTTTAAAATCTTTATCTTGCGAAAGTATGAACTTCTAGAAAAATACAAGTTTTTAGTATGTTTTATCTACATAAGAGGGGGAAAGTAAGCAAATTCGCTCGTGCGCGACAAGGTGATGTTAAACGTTGCATATCGCAGTTTATAAATCACAAAACGTGGTCAGACAAGTTTAGACGATCGTCGTCGAAGAAAAACTGATGAAGCTGACCATACTCAACTCATATATCTAAATATGTATCAAAATCGTTGTAAAGAAGTGATAAGAAATAATGATTCATACGTGTAACCTTTATGATAAAAACTTTAGCAATGAATAAACGCCTGTGATATACATTAAGGTTGCATTAAGAAAAATCGAATTGTGAAACGTGTAAAATCAGTGTGACCAAAGAAGTAATATAGTATAAAATTAATATGGTGTAGAAGTGAAAGTGAAGGAATGAACAAGATCGTATCGTTGCATTGAATCAGTAGCAATTATCAGCAATGAATAAGATAAATTTTAATAAATAAAATAAATAGACCGGATATTTTCACGCGTATCATTTTTGCTTTTATATTTCACATTCATTATTAATAATGAATCATAATAATTATTTATTGATAAATTACGCTGTATTATATAAAATTTTTATTGAACTGCATATATTTTTAAAGAATTAAATATTAATCTGAAGTATATTTAAATAACAATAGAAACTGCTTATAAGAGAAAGAAATAATTCCTTGAATTATATTAAATAATTTATATAATGTGTATAAAAAATATTTTATCTAGTGAAACAATAACAAGCTGAAACAACATTTTTGCTGCATAATTTAAGAATAACATGAAACAACTGATAGAATATTATTTATAATTAATATTTTTATTAATAAGAAGATAAAAAATCAAGAAGTAATCGGTATTTACAAAAGATACCGTTACACGATGCGGAAGTAGTTCCAGTGAGAACATAGCATAGAATCGGAACTCGATCGAAGTCGAGTGTCAGGAATCGATCGTTGAATTTTTGATGTCTTTCTCTTTTTCACATAGATAAACCAAAGAATTATAATAAATAATTAATCGATAGAAAAAAGAATCACTAAGAAAGATTATTGATCAATTTTTTATAATAATACTCCAGCATACAAATGCATGTTTACATGCGAGCGAACCAAAACATTAATGACCTTGAAAGAGAAATAATCACGTGACTGTCAGAAAGCATAAGGATTGGATAGTCGAGACGCATATAACGTGTATTGCGCTGTGCGCGCCCTATGTCCCGCATTCCGTGTCCGATAGATGGTAGAGGTTTAGCGGGGGAAAAGGGGCAAAAGACAGACTACGCGACGGCTACAACGACGACGGCTACGACGACGAGGACGACAAGAAAGACGAGAGTGTGTCGCCGTTCGCCCGTACGTCCGTTGTGTGTGTGCGCGCGCGTTGCTCGGTTGTGTTGTCCAAGATGAAGTCCGACTCTAAACCTTTGTTGACAGCTCAGGCGGAAAAGGCGAATCATTACACGTAAGTAAGCGCCCGCCGGGCCGGTCGCGTGCTACGTGAGAGAAAAGTGAGAATAAAAGTCAGAGCCAAAAAAGTGCGTGATTCAAAAAGTGGAGTGCTAAAAAGAAAATTATATAAAAATAATAATAACAATATAAAACATATAATGATACATGCCTCTATCCATGCATAAATAAATAAATAATAAAAGAAAAAGAAAAGAAAGAGAGAACGGAAAAAGAGGGAGGGCCGCGCGAGCAGCAGCGCGGCATCGACGCGCGCGTCAAAAAACGCCACGAAATAATGTGTAGCTCTGTGGATTCGCATTCCAGATACTTGAAGGAATTTCGCGTCGAACAATGTCCCCTCTTTATACAGCGCAAATGCACACAGCACCGACCCTTCACGTGCTTCAACTGGCACTTTATGAACCAGCGGAGGCGTAGACCGGTGAGAAAGAGGGACCGCACCTTCAACTATAGCGCCGATAATTATTGCACCAAGTACGACGAGACCACCGGCATATGTCCAGATGGAGATGAGTAAGTTTATCAATTGAGTGAGTCTATATATGATTTTTTTTGTCTACAGATCTCTCGTTTCTTAGAAAAAAATATTACAAATTATTCTTATGTCAAATGCATGATTTGCCGTGTCGCAGTCAGCCGACGGCATTAAAATTTCATTGTATATTTAACATTTAACATTTTCTCTTAAAAAATTTTATTACACTTTCTTGTTTTTGAACACTCACGAATTTTAACGAAAATATATCTATTATTTTTTATTTATTGCAAATATTACGCATCTAAAAAAATTAAAGAAATTGTTTTGCTTATAAAACATAAAGATATTTTTTCCTCGAGTTTGGAAGCTGTAAATGAATTTTTCAGCATGAATGAAATATTTCAAATCCAATATCGATGTGTCTTCGAAAGATAAACGACACAGTCGAGTTTCTTTGTGTCGTTGACACGCGTGTGCTGTAATATAACACGCATCTGCGTGGTAATGTGTAACGACGTAACATCTCTTCGAGAATAACCTATGTAACGAAGAGGAGGCCAATTTCGACGTAACTTTCGAGGACACGCGTGCGTGTATATATATATATATATATACAAATAAACGTGATCGAACATTACTGCATTTCCATGTCAGATTTGTGTACGATAGAAAAGCTTTAAGCATGTAATCATAATTTCATTTATTTATACTATTTACATATATCTTTTAAAACAATTTACTTTTTTTTTATTATATTTTTTATTGATCTTCTTTTTTTTTTCTTTCTGTTTCTTTAAATGAAATATTATTGATAATATTATGATAACATTATGATAATTAAATTTTATTTGCATATAATATAGAAATATTGAATAAAAAATTAATATTTCATATATGTACATATACACATATTAAAACAAATATTTTTATTGAATGTCTTTTTAAGTGAAAATTATTTAAAAAAAATAATATTTATTTATTCATAATATTATAGAGTAAATATTTCAAACATTTTAATTATTTAATATCATTTTCGATTTTGAATGATCTTGATAATTTTTTGTAATATTATTTTGTTTACCTAAAAAGTAATATAAAATTGATACAAAAACAAAATTGTATAATAATATATTTCTTATACATATTCGTATTTATATATATATATATTTTTTTTTCATAATATTTATATGTGTATTTATATTTTTGATTTTAATATTAATATTTTTATTTTTATTTATTCATTGTATTCAGTACATATTTATTTTTAGTATTTAAAGTTTTAATTAATTATTTTTAAATTTTATCAATTCGATTATATTTCATAGAATACATGAATCTTCTTTGACCTAAATTCAGTAGGTATTAAAAAAGTCAAATATTATATGGATTTTATTGATTGTGACTAGTTTTTTTTTATTCAATTATTGATTATTATTTCTTATTTCTTAAATTGATTGATATAATGTGTTTTCAAATAATTAATTGTCTAATCCAAACATATGAATTAAAATATTGCGAAATATATTCTTATTGTGAATATATGCTTGCGGCAGCTTGTAACCGCCATTACTGATAGAATATAGCTACCGTCGGCTGCTAACCTGTTGTCATCCATTGTAGATAACCACACCAAGCTAAGCAAAAATTTCTTTATGCTTTCGAACATATAGCTGTAATTTCTTTCGTAATTATGTTTTATTCAAAATTATTTTATTTTCTTTATTACTTTATATTTTTATATTTTTAATTATTATTTTTATTAAATTAATGTAATATGGTGAGAATTTATTTGATATAATTTAATATATTTAAAAAATGAAAATGGAATGAATATTTATGTCATATTAAGATTATTGACTCGAATTTAATTGATTATAAATATCCCTAGATAGAATATGATACAGAAATGATCAAATTTTTTAATTAATAAAAATTAATCTTTATTATTTTCAAAATTGTTTCTTGAAGAAGAAAAAAATACTTTTTTATTAAATTTTTTATATAGTTATAAAATTAACGTAATTTTAATTTTTTTATTTAATATAATTAATATAAATTTTTTTTACTATTTTATTATTATTATAGAGTTCACATATATAAAAATAACAAAATATAAGAAATGCAAAAGTATATAATATATGTATATGAATGCATATAACTATAAAATTTTAAAATGAATAAACAAAATTAAGAATTATTGATTAAAGTAATTAAAAATTCAAGTTTATTATTTTTTTAATAAAAACAAATAAAAATCTAGCTCTTATAAAATCATTAAGATTTATACAGCGTAAAGATTTATTATATATTTCAGTATAAAAAATTTCTAGAGAGCATTGAGCATATTTCTGAATCATTTATATATACATTTAACTTTCTATGGTATCACTAGCAAAATTAGATGAATGAAAAAGTTTACTATTAATATATTGTTTTTTTTATATTAATAATTACATATATTTTACATACAATTAACATTGAAATAAATTCTAATTTATTCGGCTGTATTTAATGAAAAATATAAAATAAATAAAATAAAATACTTAAAAAAGGATAATAAAGGATAATTAAATTTATTTTGAAATAAAACATATATTTTTTTTATTCAATACAATTTACAATTATTATGAACTTTTAATGAACTAATTATTATGAATTTTTCCTCTTGAGAATATGATTGTAAGCAATTTTTAAATTGATAATCAATCCGCGTACGAATACTTATCATATTATTTATTATAAATATTATTCTAAATATTCGTTATTACATTCATTTAATTAATTTTTTAGTTTTATTAAATAACTTTGCGATAGATAGATACTTAACTTTTTAGTTTCATCAAATAATAATTTTATGATTGTTGTTACACTTTATCATATAAAATATCAAAAATAAAAATTCAACTATATCATAATTAAATTAAAATTAAAGATAATAAATTAACTTTTTATTCCTAATTCAATGATTTTCAATATTAATGTTAAGGAACATTATAAATATATGTTAATCTGTAATAATAAATAGATAGCATATTTAAATTTTTTGAAATTTATAAAAATATCGATGAAGAATTATTTTATTTGTAATATTAATATTTGCATTTCATAACAATTCATAAATGTATCAATAATATCAACAATCAGTTTTCCCTCCAAAATATTCAATGCCTCAAGTTCCCAAACAAAGAAAAGCCTATCCTACTGATATTGATTTTTTCTTACGTGGCATGGTGGCAACAAAGAATTATATGTGGTAATCCTTGTTGCTGCACCGTAAAAAGTACCGAAACTATTATGACGCAATTATAGCGTAGAAAATAAAACTATCAGTTTAATTGTTTTTTCTGATAATCATTATGAATATTTAATTATTTATGATACATTTTATTTTAATTTATGTTAGATATTAAAAAACCAATAACTTATGTTAAAATTTTAAATATCATATTAAATTATATTCCTTATTAGAAAAATTTTTAGGAAAAGTTTTTTGTAATATGAAAATTATTTAATTTAATTTATATATATATAATTAAAATATTTTACAAATAAAATTTATATTAAATTTCTTATTATTTTATATATCGAACTATCTTTTAATATTTCGTACTTAGTATTAATATGTAATATATAAGTCAATCTTTTGAATTTTTATTTTATATTTTATAATTTTATTTTATTTAGAATATTCATTCAGCATGTTTTATGAGCTTTAATTTAAATTAAAATAATTTTCATTTTTTAAGAACTTTTTTTATATTGTTAATTATAATAAATATTTATATATAATAACAATTAATAATTAAAATAAATATTTATCTATATATTTTATAAGAATTTAATTAAAATAATTTATAATAAATAAATTTTATTGTTAAATAGGTGTCCATTCCTTCATCGCACTGCTGGTGATACAGAAAGGCGTTACCATCTACGTTATTATAAAACTTGCATGTGTGTTCATGATACAGACACACGTGGATTCTGTGTCAAGAATGGTCCTCATTGTGCCTTTGCACATGGCAATCATGATCTTCGTCCCCCTGTTTATGATATTAAAGAAATACAGGCATTGGAAAATCCCGATTCCGATCCTAATTCATCATCTAATGGACCAAATATACTTGATAAAGAACGGAATTTGATGAATGAAGATCCCAAATGGCAAGATACAAATTATGTACTAAGCAATTATAAAACAGAACCTTGCAAACGTCCACCTAGACTTTGCAGACAGGGTTATGCTTGTCCACAATATCACAATAGTAAAGATAAAAGACGTAGTCCACGCAAGTATAAATACAGGTAAATAATGATCTTTAATTTTAAAAAAATTAGAAAGTAATTTAATTTTTAATTTAAAACTTATATTTTAGATCAACACCATGTCCTAATGTGAAACATGGAGAAGAATGGGGTGAACCAGGCAATTGTGAACAAGGAGATGCTTGTACCTATTGTCATACACGAACGGAGCAACAATTCCATCCTGAAATATACAAATCTACAAAATGTAATGACGTCCAGCAAGCTGGATATTGTCCACGCGGAGTCTTCTGTGCTTTTGCACATGTTGACCGTGAGTGTACCCTCATAAATCGTACGTAAAACACTTATCGTTACTATTATCTTAGTAAGTTTAGTAGAATTTTTTTTTTATAATTTCTTTTTGAAGCTTTATTTGCAATGTTTAATTTCTTAACATGCAATTGATTGAAATAAAATCGATCAATGCGAAATTTATTAACAAATAGAATGCTTCTATTACTTCTATGTTAAAAACATTCAATATTTTATTTGCTTTTAAGAATTCTTTCTTTTTCTTTTTTTTTTTCTTTGTATTTGTATTTGGTAAATGATTAAAATTAGTATTTAAAATCGCTTCTCAAAATTGATAAATTGGGACGTTGGTATGGTATGCTGATGGAGCAGTGTTGCCAACAGAAGAAATGAGCCTGGCGAGGGACATGGCAGTACCTATAGATTGTGGCACTAATTTGGCAGATATCCTAAGTAATGCGCTTCCACCTGATAAGCGTACTCATGAAAAAGATAAACCACTTAGCGATAGTAGTGTAAGTCTATTATTTATCTGAAAATAATAAATTTCTTTTTAAAAAAGATTTAATTAACATTGATAAATGTAATTATAGAATGGAAGTGGCGAAGTATCAGAATCAGCAAGTACTAGCAGTGTTGGTAGCAATAGTTCACATAGTAAAGCTCCTGGTGCTCAACTTCATAATTCAAATTCCAATAATACTGTAAACACTTCCAATCAACAAAAGTTAACGAGTATACTTTATAATCCCAATTCTCTATTGCAAGTTGTAAGTTTGACTATTTGATTATAGAATATATTTATATATTTATATATTCAATAAAAGTTCAATAAGTAATTTTAAGAATATTAAATAGGGTGAAATACGAAAACAAATGGTTGCTATAGATAGTGATCCTTTATTAACAAAAGCAGAGAAAGCTCAACAGAAACAAAGCCTATATATTGCTTATAGTTTGAATGGAACTTTAGGTAGTCATTCGTTAGCAACTACTGTCTCACCACTTTCAAGTTCATTTTATCCAAATGATACTGTGGAATCTGTAGTAGGTAAGATGAAGATTTAAGAAAAGAAGGAAAAAACATAACTTATTAATTATGATTTTATATTTTTTCTTTTTAGGAAGTGCATTAGATGAGTTACACTTAGATGATCCTCTAAATTTAGTAGAATCAATTCATAGGGATACTAATTCACCAATTAGCAATTCAATATCGGCAGGCCTAGCAAGTTCCGGATTATTAGGAAGCTCTGCACCAGTTAATATTCCTGGAATGAATGAACGTTCCGTTCTTACAAATTTTTCGCCATCCACATCCAGTCCACTTCAACATTTACATTCAACTGGTTTTCTTACTGGATCCAGATTTTCTCATCAGGATTCAATAGAATCGGTAAACAAAAATACTTTTTTTTTTTCAAATTATAGAAAAATGTTTTGTATCATTTAATATTTTATTTTATTCGGTTGATTTCAGACAATACCATTTATGAATCAAGTATCAGATCCATTTAGCAATCATATTTCACAACTTAGCAGTTCAGCTTCTAAACTTAGCGGATTTAATAGTAGCTTATTTGATTTTACAAATCAAGGAATGTCTCCATCTCGTACTCAACCTCTCCCAGCATCTCCATTGGTTAATGCATTTTCCATTAGTCCAAGTAACACAGGATCTTTATCTGAGGTTAGAATTCTCCTAGTTTTTACTTCATTGTTATTATTATTTATAAATAAAAAGAATATTTATAATAAAAAATTAATTGATTTATATTAACTGATTTTAGGTACAAAGGCTTAGAGAAGAATTGACATCAAGTCGTGCCCAATTAGCAACGTGGGATGAGCGTATTAATCAAGCAAGAGCTGCTTGTGCTGCTTGGCAATTGGAAAGTGAGGAAGCTAAAAGAAAAGCAAGTATTGCTGAACAGCAAAGAGATGAGGTAATTTTTATTTGTTTATTTTATTATTAATTATCTTATTAATATAATTAATTATTATAACTTTTTTTCTGCGAAATATTTTTTTGTCAAACTTATTTGAAATTATAAATAATACTTTCACAGGCCTTGTTGCAAGTAAAAGCATTAAGGGTAGAAAATGAAGCATCTAGTGGTGGACCATACCTTCATACATTGAGAAGAACAAGTGAGCTCAGATCATTATCGATAGCCGCATTAAAATCAATTCAATCACAGCTCCGTTCGGATCTTGAAGAAGTAGAAAAGGTAAAACAAAGTTGTCATGCCGGTTTGAACAGCTGGTATATCAAGCGATTCTCGAATAATTATTAGTTTATCGGAAGAGGATGTGAAAGAATTAGATTCTACAGCAATCTCATCTTCATCAAATTGAATTTTCTTCTATTATTAAATAAATGTTTCAATTGGCAATCAAGATATTTTGTAAAATCTAATATTTGCGACTGTTTGATTAATGGAAACACTATAGGTAGCTCAGTCGTTGCCGTTCCAGGTGCTGTACAGAGAAACGGCAACAAAGTGCATGGTTTGCGAAGAACAAAATCGCACTGTTACCCTCTCACCGTGTAATCACTACGTGGTCTGCTCGACGTGCGCTCCAAATCAACGAGAGTGCCCGTACTGCCAGACTCCGGTTGTTTCTACAAGTTAGGTCCGAATATTTTGTTAGAACGCCCGTTGTTATAATCTCTACTCTTTCTCAGTAACCAGGACAAATATTCTCAGAATTGTAATGTGAGTAGTACTAGAATTTTTGGTACTTTAAATGCGATATATAATAATATATAAAATAAATAATTACAAAAATTGTAATAAATAATTACAAGATTTGTATAATCGCAATAGAAAAAAGAAACAAGAGAAAATACAAATTTATTCAAATATATAATTTGATTATCGCCAAAGTAAATATGGATGTGATAAGACTTCGTGTGCATAGTCTCTATTGTCATACATTTTTGTGTCAACAGTCATGCTACTATATAACTGTTTATAAAGATTCAAATATCACATCCTTTATATTAAGAACATGTATTAATGATCTTGAAATGAGAATTATTTATTAATACGAAATACATCTATTAGCAGGGTGCTAGCTGAATAGTTAGCATTTAATAACATATATACAGTTACACAAATATAAAATTGAAGAAGAAAAAAAAACAATATAATCATAAATATGATGGACAAAGTTTTGGGACCTTTAAAGTATATATTTGTTTAAAAATTATAATACATACATAATTAAACGCAACAAAAGATTAATGTTCCACATAATAATTGTGGGATTATTTTCCTCAATTGTTGAGCTGTTAAACGTATGTCACAAATGATGATATATTTCTATTATATTTAAAAATATATATTTAAATAGGATTTTTTAATTGATTCGTACTGATGGTAACAATAAAAGTATTAACAAATTTTATATCTTTGGTTGAAAAATAGTATTGATAATACATATATTATATAAGGAATATATATGATTTCTAAATTTTTATACAAAATAAAAGATTGCTCATATTTATACGAAATATCAATTCAAATTTCTGAAAGAAATGTAAGACAAAATAATACATTTAATAATTTTTAATTATTAAAAAAATAAATTAAAAGATGTATTATTTCGATCTTACAGTGTTCTTATCGTTATTCTCTTTTGTTTTTCTTACATGCATATATACATATATATATGTATGTATGTATGGATGTATGGATGATGTATGTATGTAATGTATATATGTATGTGTATGTCTGCGTGTG